GAAGAAAAGGAAGGGCCAGTTTTAGGACGAGTCCTATATACCGCCGAGTGAAAAGAAGGAGGGGAACCAAAACAAAAGACCTCCCTCGGTTATCATCAGGGCCTCGTGCCCACTTCTCAGAAGAGTAGTAGACGTCCCGACTTGCAGGCACTGCCTGGGGCGTGCAGACAGGCCCAATCCCCGCAGGGCCAGAGGTGCGATGGGGCGTGTCTGAGGGATGTGTCTTGGTCCTCGATCGTTCGGACTTTGATCCTCCTCCTCGTCCTCCTCTTCCTCCTCCTCATCGTCGTCCCCCTCCTCCTCTTTCTCGTCATCCTCCTGCTGCTCCTCCTCCTGCTGCTCCTCTTCCTTCTGCTTCTCCTCCCTTTCCCTTTTCCCTTTTCGCAGTTGGTGGCGCGCTGTCGCGCGCGGGCGCACCAGGCCCCGCCGGGCCGGGACGGGGGCGCCGACCGCCTCGAGGGCCTATGGGCCCCCCGTTCCCGGACCCTCCCTCGCCCAGCTCGCACTCCACTGTTCTCTGAATCCACCGACCCCCCAGGGGGGAGACAGGAGGCGACCGTGGGCCGCGCCGCAGAACGAGGGCGAGGACAAGGACGAGGACGACGACGACGACGACAACAACGACGACGACGACGAGGACGAGGACGAGGACGACGACGACGACGACGACGCCGACGACGACACGACAACCGGCGACGCGGGGGCAGCAGCCGAGAGGGGGGCAGGAGGGGGCGCCGAGCAGGACCGCAGCAACAAGCAACAGCCACAGCCGACGGCAGCGCAGCAAAAGCAGGCAGCAGGGGGGGGCAAGGGCGGACAGGGGGGGGGCAGCCCAAAAGACCCAAGGGACGGCGGGATACTCAGTTAGACAGCTGACTCCTCCGCCTACCCAAGTCACCCATTTCCGCGCAGCCCCCCAGCGGGGGCAAGAAGCGGGCGGACGAGAGGGACAGCCGGGCGACAACGACGACAAGAACGCCCAAGCGACGACAACGACGCCAACAACGACGACGACGCCCACGACGACGACGACGACGACGACGACGGCGACGACGACGACGACGCCCACGACGACGACGACGACGACGACGGCGGCGACAACGACGACGACAACGACGACGACGGCGGCGGCGGCGGCGGCGGCAGCGGCCGAAGCGGCGGCGGCGGCGGCGGCAAGGACGACCCGGCCAGCAGAGCCACGCCCGACCGGCCAAGCAGCAGACACCCCGGCACCGAGGCGAAGGAGCAGCAGCACGCACAAGAGAGGAGAGCAGCGCAGCAGCGGCACGGGGCCACAGCGCCACGGGAAAGCAGCAAAGCAGCAGCACAGCACCGAAGCACCAGCGGGCCAGGCGGGGAGCAGGAGGGAGCAGCACGGCAGCAGCACAGCAAGGGAACGCGGCAGGGAGGGCAGAAGAGAGGCAAGCAGGCAAGCCGCAGCAGGCACAGCAAAAGCTGCAACCCCGCAAGACCCCAGGGGCGGCGGAGACAGAGAATCTAAACAATAATGGTGTTGCTGTTGCCAGAGCCTCACAAGCCTGACCGAAAAATACCAGCCTCGGCAGCATTTCTTCCACTGTCGGCGCTCCCAGCAGCGCCCACCGGGTAGCTGCCACCGCGGCCCCTCCATATAGCTCCTGGCGCCAGGCGGCCGTGCCCGGGCAGGAGGCCAGCAGATGGTCCAGCGTAGCCTCGTGGCCCCCGCACAGGGGGCAGGGAACGAGGGCGGGAACCAGGCCTCCGCGACCCCACGCCACCAGCGGAATAGAGCCCGTCACACGCGCAATAATCCAGGCCCTAAAATACTTCCAGACACGCCTGCTCCATGGGGCCCACTGCAAACCCAACGGGAACGGCGACCTCGCCGGGGCCAGGATAGCGTACGGCGCACCGTCCCCAGCCGGCAGGACAGCCATCTGCTCCTGGAACCACGCCTCCTCCGCCCGCCTGATTGCAGGCATGACCACTGCGCGCTTCCACTGGCCAACCACTGCACGGCATTTCGCCCTGTCGGACCGATCCACAGCTGCCAGGTCCCTGTCCAAGTGAAGCGGGGTAATCCCATAGCTCCTGGCAATGGCGTCGGCCCTGTCGCACCACGTCTCGCCCGTAACCGCCGCTGCTCCCAAACACGCCACACGAGCCACCGCGTCCGCTGGGAGGAGCACAATGCGCGCCCTTGCCGTTACTATCCGCTGGGCAAACGTCGCCGCGACCCGCGTGAACAGGCGCAACTCGGAGAAGCAGCGCACGTGGCCTCCGGCCCCCAGGGACACACTAGGCCGAAGTCCCAACATGCATTTTGCAGCCGAATACATGGCCTCATTCAGACGCCTGGACACCACAGCCCAGCCACCAGTGAAGCACGCCAGTAACTCGCATCCATAGAGTACCGCCGGTAAAATGCGCTTCCCAAACTGCGCGGTCAGCAGGGGGAGGCCCAAGCCTAAGTCAGCAAACGACGTTACCATTTCCTGTGTCTGCGAGACAATCATGGCGCAGGTACGGTCCAACAGCGGCTGAAAGGTGAGATTTGCATCCACCACAGAGCCCAGTACGTTCATTGTCGCCCGAGCCTCGACTGCCTCCCCGCCCACGGTGCCATAGCTGCCCACCGGCCCCCGGGGCACCCCGACCGGCAGGACCGTCGGGCGTTTTTCGCCGCCTTGGAATGCATGGCGCCACCTTTCACAGAACACGTCGAGGCGGACGCACGCAGCGCGTATGCCCGCCACCGAGGACTGAAGCAGGAACGCGTCATCTACGAACTGCGCCAGACCGACCCTGTGCGGCGACATGCTGTCCAGGAACGCCAACTGCTCGCCTCCCCCGACCAAGGAACGCATGTGTTTTGGCCAATCTGGACGGCGATGCCCCTCCGCAACCGCCGCCTCCAGCTGAACCCGCGGCCAGACCGTCTCGACAGACCCGTCGCCCGCCGACCCGCCCGCCTCTTGCCACGCCAACACCGCCTGCGGCGGGGGGTCCACGCCCGCGCCAGTAACGTGGCCCTGCAGCTCGGGAGCATGGCTCCTCCTCCTCCTCCTCCTCCTCCTCCTCCTCCTCCTCCTCCTCCTTCTCCTCCTCCTCCTCCTCCTCCTCCTCCACTCCTTCTTTCACTCCTCCATTCCTCCTCCTCTCCATCACTCCTCCTCTCCTCTTCCCTCCCTCCACCCCGTCTCCCTCCCTTCTCCCTCTGCTCCGCTCGCCAAAATCGCAGAGTCAAGGTGGCTCCACGACGCTGGGTCTACCTGAACTGCCAGGGCCTGTGGGGGGGCAATGTTCGGGGGGGGGAGGGGCTCGTGTGGGGGGGGGGCATCGACTCTCCAGTCGCCACTCTTCGCGAATATGGGGGCGCGACAGCCCACCCCGCCTAGGAACGTTTGGATCCGCTATCCTATCGAGGGCCTATCGCCGATCCAGCGGCGATGTGCTGCCGATTCCAGTTCGATGTTGCCCTCCTGAGCCAGCCTCCTCCTGACTTTTGCACTGGGGCCCCGGCGGGACCCCGGCAGGACCGCACACCGAGTCCACACGGGCACACCACGCTCGGGGCCCGCGGGAGCCGTGCGCCTGCGGAGGCGCCGTGGGCCTTTGCCGTGCCTCTCGCGGGGCCCTCCAAGGGAGCGTCGGGGCCCGCCTCGGGGCCCTGCGTAAACCTCCGGGGCAGCGCCGGGGGCGGGTGGGCTCCGAGGGGAAGCGCATCGACCCCTCGCCGCTCACTCATCGCCGACGGGTGCCCGCCGGCCCTCCCCGCCCAGGAAGGTGCGGGTCCGCTTCACGGAGTGCCGATTGGCCATCGCCGCTCTGTCGGCGATGCATCGTCGATTCCAGGTCAGCGCTTCTGCCCCCGAGCCAGTCCCCCCCCGACGTTGCCCTTCAAAGCCCGGGCACTGCAGACGAGGGCCCTGCCAGATCCAGCGCGAGGAAGCGGAGGCAGGATCGTGTCTCGACCCATGGCTGCAGTGCTCCTGGCGCGCCAGCGCCGTGGTTCATCAATGTCTCCGTTCACGGGGCCCACATTGTTTGGGCACGCGTCAGTCGAACTACAACGATTGTTGTCGAGGTCCGCGCATATTTTTTGGATCGGCACTAGAGCTGGCGCGCGGAGTGCGCCAGGGGCAGCGCCGGAGGCGTCGCCAGGCTGGCCCAATGCCGATGCAAAACATCCGCGCGGAGATCTGAAAGTTTCTGTTTGCGCAGTCTTGTATTGTTCGATACTCCTCGGACCTCTGCCGGGGTTCTGTCGTCTTCGATTCTCCATGGACTCTCCGGGGGTAGTCTTCTTGGGTACTTCACGGACCTCTCCTGGAGGGGCGGTCTTGTTCGAAATTCGACGGACCTCTCCTGGGGCTTTCTTCTTCGACACTCCCGGGACCTCTCCCGGGGTGCGGTCTTCTTCGATTCTTGGGGCGTTGCGGCAGTTGGGGGCGATCAACCGGGGGGGGGTGAAGAAAGGTGCACCGCTTGTTCTCTGGGGGGCCCAACCGGGGCACGGAAGGTGCACGTTTCGTCGCCCCCCCATTGGCTGCCCCCCCTTTGAGCAGCGCCCGTCTATTCCACGGACCTCTCCCGGGGGGGCCTCGAGTTTCTGTTTGTGCAGCTGCCTTCCCCTCTTCTAGAGGCAGTCGGGCGGCACGCGGGGGTGGTACGGGCTGCGCCCGTGGGCTGTGCGCCACAGGCCGCGCCCAGGGACCCAGCGCCGATCCAAGGACTCCACGCGGGGCCCCGACATGTTTTGCTTGCAGTGAAGCTGCTGAAAGAAGGAGCGCTAGCTACGGAACGGAGCCATCGTTTGGTACCAAAGCGCCTGGGTGCACGAGGAGGGCAACCACGGAATGACATAAGGAACAGCATGCTCATTCCCAACCCAAAGCGGTTCTTGTTTCAGTGTCTTGATTGCGACGACGACGACGATGGTCAGGAGCCGCGCTCTGCGGGGCCCGCTGGATGAGAGGGCGTGTCGCCCCTGTGGCCCCACAGGGTGGGGGCCGGCGGGCATGCTCATCGGCGTGCTGTGCGAGGTGGTCAGCGCGGTGGCGGCCACGGAGAAGGAGGAGATGAACGTGTTGGCCCTCAGGCCCGAGGGGCAATGTTTCGAAGAACAAGAGGCGCCATAAACAGAAGCTTTTGGCGCTCCGCGCGGATTCCTTGGATACACGCTGTGCGCCCCTGGCGGCGCCTCCGGCGCCGCGCCTGGCGCGCTCCGCGCGCCCTGCCCCTTGAAAGCGCCCCCTGTCACCCCGCAGGCCCGCGGGATCCCGCAATCACAGTCCATACACTATTCGAGAGGCTCGCGCCACTCCGCCGACCGTCGCCCACCCACAGACGAAGTGTGCAGTCCAGGGGGAGCGCGAGGGCGAAGCGTGCTCGCGAATGCTGTTCCAGACGGAACCGGCTTCCAAGTCATGATGTGCTGACATATCCTTGGGAGCGGGAGGGGGATGAGGATGGGGGGGAGGTGGAGGAGGAGGAGGAGGAGGAGGAGGAGCAGGAGGAGGAGGAGGAGGAGGAGAGCAGGAGGAGGAGGGGAGGAGGAGGAGGAGGAGCAGGAGGAGGAGGAGGAGCAAGAGGAGGAGGAGGAGGAGGAGGAGGAGGAGGGGAGGGGGAGGAGGAGGAGGGGGAGGGGGGAGCAGGGGCGGAGGAGGAGGTGGGAGGAGGAGGGAGGAGGAGGAGAGGGAGGGGGACAGCTAAGCACCTCACGCACGTAGGCGGAGTCGGACCGCGCAAAGCTGCTGGCAGCAAAGCAGTCCGGATGGGTGTTCCGAGGTTTCGTCTGGTGCCCGCCCGTGGCCGCCTCCTCCTCCTCCTTCCTCCTCCTCCTCCTCCTCCTCCTTCTCCTCTCCTCCTCCTTCTCCTCCTCCTCCTCCTCCTCCTCCTCCTCCTCCTCCTCCTCCTCCTCCTCCTCCTCTTCCTTCTCCTCGGGGAGGTGGGCCCAGCGCAGATCTAAGACATCCGCGCGGAGCGCCACACGTCTGTGTCTTCCAATGTTGGAGCTTCGAGGTTCGATGGTCCTCGGTTGCTTTCGTAGGTTCTCAGCGGTTTTCCAGCATCAGGATGCGCTCCAGCAGCTGCAGCTCGCCGAGAGCGGTCCGGGGGTGCCCCGAGCGTCCCGAACGGCCGCCAGAGGCCCGACAGATGGCCCGAAAACAACCGCAGACGGGGACAGGCTCAGAGGCCGATGCATCGACCCCCGTCGCCCATTCATCGCCGATGGGCCCGATTTCCCTCCCTGCCCAGAAGCGTGGGGTTCTGTCTGCTTCAGTCGGATCGATGTATAAGATCAAAGTCGGTTCGGGGAGGGTACCCTAATGTTCTGCGTGTGTGTGTGTGGTTGTGTGTGTTGTGTGTTGTGTGTTGTGTGTGTGTCTGTGTGTGTACGTGTGGCGTGTGTGTGTGTGTGTGTGACGCTCTCGTGCATCCTGGGGAGAGTACCCTTGGATGTTCTGCTTGGTTTGGCCCTCGGAGGGTCTTGTGTTCTTGAAGGATGTTTTCTGGCCCAGGTCCGACTGTATCAGGGGCCTGAGGCCGCTCTGTCGGTGATGAATCGCCATTCCAGTTGGATGCTTCTCCCCCTGAGCTGGTGCCCCCCGAGCGTCACCCCTCAAGGTCGAAGCTCGCAGAGGTGATGCTCAAGCTGGACACGAGCGGGAACGGCAGGCTCTCCAGGGATGGAACACGTGAGCATCAGCATTCATGTCGTAAACATCGGCAGAAACACAGAAGGCTTGCATGAGCATCAGCATTCTCATCTTCTCAGAGGAGGAAGAAGTACCGATGCCCTCGATCTCGCCGCTCTGGGGGCATCCTGGGAGGCCATCCTCGCCACTGCTTGACTCGCCTCGAAATCCTGCCGCACCCTGGGAGAGGTCAGTGTAGTATCGAAGAAGACAAGAGAAACACACCATCTACCGGAGCTCCGCGCGGATCTCTTGCATCGGCGCTGGAGCCTCCTGGCGGCGCCTCCGGCGCCGCCCCCAGGGCTCCAGCGCCGAGCGCCGAGCCAAGTCATCCGCGCGGACCGCCGAAAGTGGATGTGTCTTCGAGAGCGGGATCGGTACCTTTCCGTTCTCACAGGCTGTCTCAGGAGGAGTTCGTGCAATTGGTCAGCGACGCCCAGGCCGTCAAGCTGCTGGACGAGATGGGCATCGACCCCATCAGCCTCATCGACATGGCGCCGACCATCTTCGAACCAAGGGAGGACGACTCCGATGACGACTCCGATGACGGCGTCGAGAGGTTGGACTCGAGCAAGGGTCGCGAGATAGACTTCCAGGAGTTCATGAAGGTCTCCGAGAAGAGTCATCGGCAAAAGCATACAGTAGGCTGGTGGCGTGTCGACGTGACAGCGACCCCGCCGCGCGACGTCGAGGTTGAACGCTGTCAGTGGCCCAGAATGTGCCAATATGGAACTTTCTGGTGAGCGGGACACCGCCGATCCTTTCGAGGTTCCTGTCCACGCGGTGTCAGAAACCAACGCCGGGGTCGTCTTGACACGAGCTTGAGGTACAGGATCGGAGATTTCGCGCGCAGTTTGTGGATCGGCGCTGGACCCCCCCTCCCCGGCGGGCGGAGCGCTCCAGGGGCGGGACGGAGGTGACGCCAGGCGGTGGAGCTCGGCAGGATGGTGCAGGAAAGGGTTCGAGGGTGGTGCAGGATGTGCAGAGCCTCGGCCCTCGGGGGAGCCCCTCTGCTGCAGCCTGCGAGCCCAGGAGGCGCATGGCGAGCGCACGTGTCGGCCCAAGAAGGCCGCATGGTTGTGCGATGTGCTGTGTCTCTTTCCCCTGAGGTTGTCCTGGACCTCCGCGGCTCCAACGCGGCGTCCCTGAAGGACCTCCGGGAGCTGAAGAAGGACCTGATCGACGAGGTCGAGAGCCTCAAGATGAAGCTCAACGTCTCCCGACGCCGCAGTAGCAGTGGCCACGCCGGCTTCAACTCCAGGCGGGAGTCCCCAGCGCCGCACATGGTCAATGGCTCCAAGTCCATGTCGATGCCGGACTTGATGGTCACGTCGGTGCCGAACCTCAACAGTTTCGTGAACGGCTACACGGGGAAGGACCTGGGATCGCCGTGGGGCAGAGGGGGGTCCTGAGGCCAACGGGTCGTGAGATTTGTTTGACCGCTCGTGGCATCATGGGGCCCTCCTCCTCCCTCCTCCTCCTCCTCCTCCTCCTCCTCCTCCTCCTCCTCCTCCTCCTCCTCCTCCTCCTCCTCCTCCTCCTCCTCCCCCTCTTTCTCCTCCCCCTCTTTCTCCTCTCCTCCTCCTCCTCCTCCTCCTCCTCCTCCCCCTCTTTCTCCTCCCTCCTCCTCCCCCTCCTTCTCCTCCTCCTCTCTCCTCTCCTCCTCCTCCTCCTCCTCCCTCCTCCCTCCTCCTCCTCCTCCTCCCTCCTCCCCTCCCCCTCCTCCCCCTCCTCCTCCTCCTCCTCCTCCTCCTCCTCCTCCTCCTCCTCTTGGTCTTGGCTTGAGGTCCGACGTCGCCAAGCAAACATTGGAGCATCGTCAGCAATCGCGACGGCCTATGGCCCGAGATTCCGTCGTTTCGAGCAGGGTCGATCTGTGATGGTCGCCGGCACCGCAGTCGGGCGAAGACGTCCAGCATGACAAATTGCAACGCCCGGATCTCAGGGTGGGGGGTGTGGGACGGGCCAGGACGCGGCTCGTCTGCTCCACGCCACTGGGAGACGGCACGCATCCAGCACGATACTTCCACGGACCCATGCCTGGCCCTGGTCTTGGTGGATGCCCGTCCTCGCGGCCGCGCTCCACCAAGGCTGGGGCCCAGGATTGCCAACAGCGGGGGCCCCATGTAGCGTGGATCGGGCGGCGAGGTCCCCAGACCCCCTCGCGTCGTGGCAAAAACCACGACGGAAGATGTGTCCCAATTTTCCGCCTTTGTGGGCTTTCACTGGGCCTCGGAGCCGTCCAAAAATTTGCCCGGCGGAGGACCCAACCATATGAATGAATGAATGAAAGCCGGGTGTCAAGTACATGGGCAGTGATGCAACGCTATGGGTGGTAGCGCCGCACGACGGATTTCCAGTCTTCTGTTGGGATTGCCGCGAGCTGTCCATCGTCATACGCACTGCTATCACAAATTCTCTTCGCATGTTTGTACAACTCAGATGACCAAGACTGTGAACAACGCAGTTGCGAGTATCGTCATCGGTGGAGCTCCCTGTGGGGCCACGGAACGTGTGAGGGGTGTGCCGGAATCGGTGCGGCGGGCGCATGCGAATGAAGCGTTTGGGGCCGTCGGTGAAGCTCCCTATGGGTCCACGAAACGTGTGAGGGGTGTCTCGAAATGGATGCGGCAGGCGCATGCAAACGCAGCCACTGGAGCCTTCGGCGAAGCGCCCTATGTGGCCACGAAACATGTGAAGGATGTGCCGACATGGCTGCGGCGGGCGCTTGCGAACGCAGCCAGGCCTTCGGTGGAGTTCCTTATGGGGCCACGAAACGAGTGATGGATGTGCCGAAATGTCTGCGGCGGGCGCATGTGAACGCAGCCACTGGGGCCTTCGGTGGAGCTCCATTTGGGGCCACGAAACGTATGAGGGCTGAGGGGCGTGCCGAAATTGGTGCGGCGTGCGCATGCGGGCCCTGCCACTGGGGCCGTCGGTGGAGCTCCCTAAGGGGCCACGAAAAGTGTGAGGAGTGTGGGTGCGGCGGGCGGATGCGAACGAAGCCACTGGGGCCTTCGGTGGAGCTCCCTATGGGGCCACGATGCGTAGGAGGGGCGTGGCGAAATGGGTGCAGCAGGCGCACAGCCGATGGGGGCTTCGGCGAAGCTCCCTATGGGTCCACGAAACATGTGAGGGATGTGCCGACCGAAATGCGCGAGGCGGGCACATGCGAACGCAGCCACTGAGGCCTTCGGTGGAGCTTCCTGTGGGGCCATGAAGCGTGTGAGGAGTGTGCCGAAATAGGCGCCGCGGGCACGTGCGAACTCAGCCACTGGGGCCGTTCGTGCAGCTCCGTTTGGGGCCACGAAACGTTTGAGGGTTATGCTGAAATGGGTGCGGCGGGCGCCTGCGGGCCCTGCCACTGAGGCCTTCGGTGGAATTCCCCATTAGGCCACGAAATGCGTGAGGGATGTGCCGCGAAGGGTGCGGCGGGCGCATGCGAACGCGGCGTGCCGAAGTGGATGCGGCGGGCGCATGCGAACGCAGCCACTGGAGCCTTCGTTGGAGCTCCCTATGGGGCCACGAAACGTGTGAGGAGTGTGCGGAAATGGGTGCGGCGGGCGCATGCGAACGCAGCCACTAGAGCCTTCGGTGGAGCTCCCTATGGGGCCACGAAGCGTGTGAGGGGCGTGCCGAAATGGGTGACTAGTGGAGAGGGCAGAGGCAAGGATTTGAGGAAGGAGCGAGGAGGAAAGAGAGGCACGGGCCTGCCCTAAGATCCAGCGCCGCGAAGCAGCGGAAGCATCGCAAACACATCGTGAAGCTGTCTTTTATTCATTGTTACAGACCAGATCGTGATTGTTTTGGGCGACTGGTCAGGACCCCGCCCCCAGTCTGCTGGCGCGATGGTACAAAGAGATCGACTGAGCACCAGCCCAGGCTCAGACCCCCCCTCCCCAACCCGTCGACACGATGCCGAAACCCAGAATACGAAAGCACTCACATGACGACCAGGGCCCTAGACCCGATCTGGCTGCGGCATCTTTCGAGCCGGGTCGATCTGTGAGGGCTCCAAGGCCCAGCACTGAGCGCAAACGCCCAGCGTGAAACAATGGCCACGCTTGGATCTCAGGGTGGACCCCGCGCTGCCTCTCCCCGCTGTCAGGGCAACGTTCGGGGGGATAGGCTATCCCCACGGGGCCATGATATTTCAGCCTCACCATCCCAGCCCCCCATCTGGGGCTAGGCCCCCCGAAACTCGAGGGAACAGCCTATTCTCTCATCTAGGGGGATAAATCGGCCAGTGGGGCCCAGGCCACGCCAGAGGGGATAGAGATCGGTTAACCGACACTCAGTACGCATCGACCCCCAATCGCACACTGATCGCCGGTGCGGCCTGATAGCCCAACCCGCCAAGGAGAGCGCGTTTTCGATACCAGGGGCCTATCGCCGACCTGTCAGCGATGAATCGCTGATTCCGCGTGGAGGTTTCCTCCCTTGGGCGTTCCCCCTATCGTTCCAGATATGCGATGTGCTGACAATCCTGTAGTGCTGGATCCTCGTTTTGGAGAACCAGCGCCCTGCATCACCTAACCTCCCACCTCCCTCCTCCTTCGTCACATTCCTGCCCCTGCCCTCCGCATATACATGTCGGTATGCCCCTCACGCGTTTCGTGGCCCCAGGGAGCTCCAACTAAGGCCCCATGGGGGCTTACCGCATGCGGTCCCCCAGCCCATTTTCAGCGCACCCCTCTCACGTTTCACGGTCCCATTGGAAACTCCAACTAAGGCCCAGTGGCACAGATCGCATGCGTCCCAAGGCCCATTCTGGCACACCCCTCACATGTTTTGTGGCCCTATTGGGTGCTCCACCGATGGCCCCAATGGCAGCGCCCGCGTGCGTCCCCAAGGCCCATCCCGGCACACCCCTCACGCGCTCGTGGCCTTATGGGGAATTCCACCGAAGGCCCCAGTGGCAGGGCCCGCATGCGACCCCAGGCCTATGTCTGCACATCTCTCACTTACGTAGCCCCACTGGGAGCTCCACTGAAGGCGTCATTCACAAGTACGGTGCGCAACACTGCCGGGTCTTTCGCCCGGATATTTTCGATACGCGGTCCCCAGAAGTCTCGACCTTTTCCTCTAGGCCTCCCTGATTGGGTTGGAGTAGATAGGGTCAGAGGATCGCGCCGCATCGCCGATGCATCGCCGATGCGGCTCGATGCGGAGCCCGATTTGCTTCACGCCGACGCCGCCGATGCATCGCCGACGTCGACGATGCATCACCTGTGCATCACGCATGCATCGCCGATGCATCGCCGATGTATCGGCGGCTCGGCGCGATCCACCGACCCCATCTGCTCCGACCCCACCTAGGAGGTCTATTTCCCTAGAGCTATTTTCACCCCGAGCCCATTCGGCACGAAACACTGGCCCTCCGGAGCGGCGGGCAGCGGGACCGCCAAGCCTTGCTCGTTGCCTGACGGCCCCGCGGCCCTGCAAGGGGCACCCCGGGCCGAAGGCGACGGAACGCGTGCGATGTTTTGTTTTGGGTTTGTTGGTGTTGCTTGCTTCACAAGGGTGGCAACACTGTTCTGTTTGTTTTGTTGGTGCTTCGTTGTCATCCTCTGTTTGTTGTGTTGGTGTCTTGTTTTGTTGGTGTTTTCTTGCACGAGCATCACGACAATGACAGCACCTGGCAGCAGCGCAGATCGAGGCACCTGTGTCCAGGTTTCGGCTTCCCGAGACTTGGGACCTCCGAGTGTGGACTTGCTGTGAAGCCCTCGCTGCTAGCCATCGTTGTGGTGTCCGCCGTTGCAAACAACATACAACACTGTGACAAGAACGCGGCCAGAGCCCCAGACGGGACCTCTCTGCGCCAATCCTCGAGTCGATCCGCGAGGGCCTATGGGCCCAAAGACGAACGGAGATGCCCGCTGCGAGGAAATTGCGACGCCAGGATCTCAGGGGCGTTTGGGGTTGCCCCTCGCGCTGAGCTTGCCTCTAGGCCTCCTGGATGGGGTCCGCGTATCGCCGATGAATCGCCGACGTCGACACTGCATCGACAGTGCATCCACCCATCTACTCCGAACCCATCTTGGAGCCCTCCATTGTCTGGCACTGCCCCGCACTCCTGATCGGCGGCGGAATCCGATCCCTGCCCTCGCCGATCGACGATTCAGGCACCTCGATGTGCGGCGGGGGCCGGGTGCGCAGCTCGACGAACGCGGGGCGAAATTCAGATCCGATGCCCCCCACCTCCCATCGATTCGGGAGAATCGATAGCCGGTGGGGGGATCGGTCTCGGATGCCGCCGCCTGCAAGGCGTCGTTCCGATGTGCTCGCCCCGCAGACGCGCGCCCCGCTCCCCGTGCGCGCTGGGGGCGCCGCCCCGAGCCGCCTGCGCGGCAGCCCAGCGTCCAGGCAGAGCCTCCCTGCTTCGCCCTCCGCGGCCAGGGCTCTCTCGCCGTCCCTCTCCTCCGCCTCCTCCTCCTCCTCCTCCTCCTCCTCCTCCTCCTCCTCCTCCTCCTCCTCCTCCTCCCCCGCCTCCTCCCCCGCCTCCTCCGCCTCCTCCTCCTCCTCCGCCTCCTCCTCCTCCTCCTCCTCCTCTCAAGCATCGGCGCGACGCTCTCCGGAGCACTTTGCCTTCCCGGCGAGCTCATTGTCATGTTCGACGCCGCAATTTGGTGCTTGGGGTGGCACCGCGTCTTCACCTGTTTCATTGGGTTGCCGATCGCGGTGGCGAAGTCGGACAAAGAGTTGAGCAGGGCGCGGCATGCTCGTCTTCTATTTGCGGGAGATAGGTCGGGTCAGGTCCAGTTTGAGTTTGGTTTTCCCCGTCTTCGGCTGGTTCTTGAACTTGTGGCGTTTTTGCCGCACGTGCTCACCAAGTTCCCTGTGGGCTCCAGCAACAAGTACGTGGTTTTTGGCTGAGCCTGGCCAGCGCAAGGCAAACGCTTTTTGGTGTCGGCTGAGACTGGCCAGCGCAAGGTTTATTTTCAGGGCTATGTGTGGTTTGTGTTTTCTTCCTTTACAGTTATCACTGTTCAATTTTGGGCTGTGGGCAGGTTTGTAGGAATGAAGTTGCGCATTTGGTAGTGGATAGATGTTGCTCATGTGTCTGGCTGTTGATGAAGCAGTTTGTCGAGGAAACGAGCTCAGTACCCGTACAGCTTACGAGCTTGTTTGATTAAAAGTTTGCCCAGTGACATGTGGTGGGTTTCATCATGGGCAGGGCCGAATCGAGTTGAATTAATTTCCGCTTATCCGGCTGTCATTGGTTTGTGCAGTGTGTCATACATTTTGTGTGCGACGAGGGATTCATCAGAGGTGTGCGTGGCTGTGATCGTCCTCCTCTGGCTCCTGTTTCTCCTGTCCTCTGTCTCCTGGTTCGGCTACTTCTCGCTCGAGTTCAGAGGGCGGCCTGAGGTTTCAGAATCGTTTTCGCGATGGCGGAATATCCAGGAAGATCTTCCTCCTCCTCCACCTCCTCCTCCTCCTCCTCCTCCTCCTCCTCCTCCTCCTCCTCCTCCTCCTCCCCCTCCTCCTCCTCCTCCTCCTCCTCCTCTCCTCCTCCTCCTCCTCCTCCTCCTCCTCCTCCTCCTCCTCCTCCTCCTCCTCCTCCTCCTCCTCCTCCTCCTCCTCCTCCTCCTCCTCCTCCTCCCCCCCCTCCTCCTCCTCCTCCAGATCCTGGCGCTGCGGTTTTGCTCGCCACGGGCGCATGCGCCCAGTCTCGTGCCCAGGGCCTTCGCGGATCGACCCGGCTCGAGACAGGTCCCAGTGAGATGCGGCTCGGCGATGCTGCATCCTTTTCTGCCACATCGGGTCTACGGGCCCTCCTCCGAGGGGGAGGAGGGGGAGGAGGAGGAGGAGGAGGAGGAGGAGGAGGAGGAGGAGGAGGAGGAGGAGGAGGAGGAGGAGGAGGATAGGAGGAGGAGCCCCCGGGTCTCTCCCCTGCGAAGCCGCCCGTGGCGGAGGAGGCCACGGACGCTCCGCACGCCGCGCCGCAGCTGCGCAGCCTCGGCCCGGCGAGCCCCAGCGGCGGCCCTGGGCCCGCCGCGCCGCCGCGCGGCCAGGCGCCCTGCATCGCGGGCGGCACGCCCGAGCAGTGTGCCGGAGCGGGCGCGGGGCGCGGCGCGGGCGGGGTGGACGTGGACGAGGCGGGCTCGCCTCGCCTCGCCTCCTCTGGCGCTGCGAGGTATGGCATGGAGCACAGACCAAGACGGAAGCTTCTCGTTTCCCGCCCCCTCGCCTCCTCTCCTCGCCTCCTGTCCTCGCCTCCTCGCCTCGTCTCCTCGCCTCCTCGCCTCCTCGCCTCCTCGCCTCCTCGCCTCGCGCCTCGAGGTATGGAGCTGAGGCCGTAACGGAGGCTTTTTGCAGTTTTCGGCGTCTGGGGGCCCTCGCCAAGCCCCTGGGGCCGTCAGGAAACAATCTAGGACGCGAAGCGGGCCTGGTAAACCCACTTTCCACTGCCAGCGGCGGCGGTTGACCTGTGGTAGAGTGCTTTGCTGTGCGAGGCGCCAGCCGCTCTCAGCAAACCACTACCACAGGTCAGCAGTCCACTGCGTACAGTAGTGGTGTTGGAAAAAGCCCGCGATCCCTGGGCTGTGGTCCAAAGCTCTGGGGCGCGGCGCCAGCGTGGGTTGCCTACAGAAACCCACCAACAAAAACATCTGGGACGGCCGGAATGGGCGCGGAAAGGAAGGGCACAACAACCGACTGCAGCTCCTGTTCATCTTGAGCGGGACTCGCTGTCGGTGTCGCCGCGGGCGTGGTGCATTTGCCACAGAAGGCAGCCTGGCCAACAGCGCCCGCAGACTGTTTGCGACAACATGGAGGAGGAGGACGACGACGAGGAGGAGGAGGAGGAGGAGAAGGAGGAGGGGCAGGAAGAGAGGAGGAGGAGGAGGAGGTGAAAGAGGAGGAGGTGGAGGAGGAGGAGGAGAAGGAGGAGGGGGAGGAGGAGGAGGAGGAGGAGGAGGAGGAGGATGATAAGGAGGAGGGTAAGGAGGAGGATAAGGAGGAGGAGGAGGCTCCGTAGCCATTTTGACTCAGGGTTATACACCCACAGCTTTGACCCTGGCCCCCGCGGCGCCTGCTCGCACCGACATGGCGCGCGCCGCCAAGACGCTGGTGTGCGCCCTCGCGGGCACCGGCGCCTGCGTGCTGCTCCGCCAGACCGCCTTCGCGGCCCCGGGCGGCCTGGCCGCCGCTCCCGCCGCGCCGCCGGCGCTGCGCGGCGCAGGCGCCGCGGCGCCTCGCGAGGGGGCCGCCAGCGCGGCCTCCGCTGCGCCCCTGGGCCTCGGCCTCGCCGCGGGGCTCGCCGCCGGCCTGGCCGTGGTGGCGCGCCGCAGCGCGGCCGCCCGCCGGGCGTTTGCCGACGGCCTCGTGGGCTCGGAGTACCACGGCTGGGGCAAGTACGAGTGGGACCCCCTGGAGCTGTCCACGACGTACCCGGAGCACCTGGCCTGGTACCGCGAGGCCGAGCTGAAGCACTGCCGCGTCGCCATGCTGGCCTTCGTGGGCTTCATCGCGCCTGACGGGTTCCGCATCCCCATCCCGCAGCTGGAGGACCCAGCGCTGAACCTCTACAGCGCCCACGGCAAGCTGATCGGCCCCGGCCTCGGCGAGGGCCCCATGTGGTGGCTGCTCGCGTTCTGCGGCGTCGTCGAGTCCCTCCGCTTCAGGGACCTGGGCCTCGGCTTCGAAAAGCTCGCCCTGGAGAACGCGGGCGATCTGAGCTTCGGCAAGGGCTTCCTCCCGCAGACCAAGGAGGGCGAGGTGCAGATGAGGATCAAGGAGCTGAAGAACGGGCGGCTGGCCATGCTGGCGGTCAGCGGCATCCTGACCCAGTCCGTCGTCTGGCAGACGCCGCACTTCCCCTTCGTCCCGGGGAGCTGAGGCCGCTGCTTCGCGCGACTGGTAGTGTGGGAAGGGGGGTGCAGCGAGTCCCGGTCCCCGGAATCACTGTCTTCCAAAATCAGAGCCACGCCTTGCTTCTCGCCGTTCTCACCCGTGTTGTCCCCCCCAGGCCGTACTCTGTTCTGACGCGGAGGGGTTAGGCTTGGATGTTTTTTTTGATCGGGCCCCGCGCGTAGGTAGCCGACCGCGTGCCTCGCCCGCACAGGAGGAGGAGGAGGAGGAGGAGGAGGAGGAGGAGGAGGAGGAGGCGGAGGAGGAGGAGGAGGAGGAGGAGGAGGAGGAGGAGGAGGGGGGGGAGGAGCAAGGCATGTGTGCGACGCAGAAAAAAAGGTTGTTTTCGCCGGCATCCGCGCGTGCTCTGCCCACGTGGGGCGCCGCGCGTATAAGCGCCCTCGGTCTCCAATGACGGGGTGCCGCGCTAGAGCGGCCGGCCAAGGGTGTTTTTGTTTGTGGAGCAGTGGAAACAAGAGCTTCACAGTGCATTGAGGTAACTAGGCAGTGTGTTCTACGCAGTGTGTTCTTCGCAGTGTTTTCTACGCGGTGTGTTCTACGCAGTGCTTTCGGCGCTGTCGTCGTTTACGCGGTGGTTTCTACGCAGTGGTTTCGACGCTGTGTTCAATTGCGCTGTGTTGTTTTACGGTTGTGGCATGGAATAGTTTGTGGTAGATCGTGGTAGGGAAAGATTTAGCGAACAAAAGCAGTAAGTTAAGGCCCCTTCCCGAACAACTCCAAACGCAACGTGTTCTACGCAGTGGTTTCTACGCTGTATTTTTACGCTGTCAATGCATCAAATGATTTCAAAGGCGCCTGCTCGAAAAAACGCGAACGCAGCGTGATTTGTACGCTTTTGTTTCACGCTGTGTTGTTGCACGGCTGTGGCATGGAGTATTGCGTTGGGGAGCGTGGCAGGGACAAGCTAGGCCAATACGACCAATCATTTGTTGGCGCCTGCTCAAAATTAGCCTGGCGAAGGACCCAACCATATGCAGTTGTGAGTAATGCTGGTGTGAGTACCGTCTTCGGTGGATCTCCCTATGGGGCCACGAACCGTTTGAGGGGTGTGCCGAAATGGGTGTGGGGGCGGCATGCGAACGTTGCCACTGGGGCCTTCGGTGGAGCTCCTTATGGGGCCACGAAACGTGTGAGGGGTGCACCGAAGTTGGTGTGGGGGCGGCATGCGAACGCAGCCACTGGGGCCTTCGGTGGAGCTCCCTGTGGGGCCACGAAACGTGTGAGGGGTGTGCCGAAATTGGTGTGGGGGCGGCATGCGAACGCAGCCACTGGGGCCTTCGGTGGAGCTCCCTATGGTGCCACGAAACGTGTGAGGGGTGTGCCGAAATGGGTGTGGGGGCGCATGCGAACCCAGTCACTGGGGCCTTCAGTGGAAATCCCCATGGGGCCACGAAACGTGTGAGGGATGTGCCGAAATGGGTGTTGGGGAGGCATACGAACCAGGCCACTGGGGCCTTCGGTGGAGCTCCCTATGGGGCCACGAAACGTGTGAGGGGTGTGCCGAAATGGGTGGTGGGGAGGCATGCGGACCCTGCCACTGGGGCCTTCGGTGGAGCTCCCTATGGGGCCACGAAACGTGTGAGGGGTGTGCCGAAATGGGTGGTGGGGAGGCATGCGGACCCTGCCACTGGGGCCTTCGGTGGAGCTCCCTATGGGGCCACGAAACGTGTGAGGGGTGTGCCGAAATGGGTGGTGGGGAGGCATGCGGACCCTGCCACTGGGGCCTTCGGTGGAGCTCCCTATGGGGCCACGAAACGTGTGAGGGGTGTGCCGAAATGGGTGGTGGGGAGGCATGCGAACGCAGCCACTGGGGCCTTCGGTGGAGCTCCCTATGGGGCCACGAAACGTGTGAGGGGTGTGCCGAAATGGTGGTGGGGAGGCATGCGGACCCTGCCACTGGGGCCTTCGGTGGAGCTCCCTATGGGGCCACGAAACGTGTGAGGGGTGTGCCGAAATGGGTGGTGGGTTGCGGTGCCAGGGCCTTCGTGCTCCCTATGGGCCACGAAAATGGGGGGTGGGGGGAAAATGGGTGGTGGGAGGCATGCGAACCAGCCACTGGGGCCTTCGGTGGAGCTCCCTATGGGGCCACGAACGTGTGAGGGGTGTGCCGAATGGGTGTGGGGGGGCATGCGAACGCTGCCACTGGGGCCTTCGGTGGAGCTCCCTATGGGGCCACGAAACGTGTGAGGGGTGTGCCGAAATTGGTGTGGGGGCGGCATGCGAACGCAGCCACTGGGGCCTTCGGTGGAGCTCCCTATGGGGCCACGAAACGTGTGAGGGGTGTGCCGAAATGGGTGGTGGGGGCGGCATGCGAACGCAGCCACTGGGGCCTTCGGTGGAGCTCCCTATGGGGCCACGAAACGTGTGAGGGGTGTGCCGAAATTGGGGTGGCGATGATGATGATGGAGATGATGATGATGTGATGATGATGATGATGATGATGATGATGATGAGAATGATGGATGATGGATGATGGATGATGGGATGGGATGGTGGTGTGGTGGTGGTGGTGGTGGTGGTGGTGGTGGTGTGGCGGTGGTGGTGGTGGTGGTGGTGGTGGTGGTGATGATGTTGATGATGATGATGATTGATGATGATGATGATGAGATGATGATGTGAGATGATGATGATGATGATGATGTTGAGATGATGATGATGATGATGATGGATGGGAGGGAGGGAGGGGGGGAGGAGGAGGAGGTGAGGAACGCGGGGCGCCGTCTCTTCAAAACGAGGACCCAACACCACAGGATGGTTGGGAAAAAAACGGAAGAGGCTGCTCTGTGACCTTGCCGGTAGCCGGGCCGGGGGGGAGAGGAAGAGGGGGACGGAGGAGGAAAATATTAGCCTGGCGAAGGACCCAACCCTATGCAGTTGTGAGTAATGCTGGTGTGAGTACCGTCTTCGGTGGATCTCCCTATGGGGCCACGCAACGTGTGAGGGGTGTGCCGAAATGGGTGTGGGGGCGGCATGCGAACGTTGCCACTGGGGCCTTCGGTGGAGCTCCTCATGGGGCCACGAAACGTGTGAGGGGTGCACCGGAGTTGGTGTGGGGGCGGCATGCGAACGCAGCCACTGGGGCCTTCGGTGGAGCTCCCTGTGGGGCCACGAAACGTGTGAGGGGTGTGCCGAAATTGGTGTGGGGGCGGCATGCGAACGCAGCCACTGGGGCCTTCGGTGGAGCTCCCTATGGTGCCACGAAACGTGTGAGGGGTGTGCCGAAATG